AGTGAACCCTCTAAATAACTGAGGAGTATAATCTCACAGAGGAGACATAGAATATGATTGTTCTTCCATTTCATCTTTGTGTTGCCTTTGCAATGTATGACAGGACCGACAGGACATCAGACCAGATTGTGTGAAACGGTTTCAGGATGCTCCGAAGTGAAATTGTATGTCCATGCTTGTTATTTGGCACAATGGCCAGACGATGAACTGATCCAGAGTTCACAGAAGTAGCTGAAGGAGCCGTGTCCAAAGAGCAGGCGGCCTTACCTTCCCCGATGCCGTCACCATCACCATCATCTTCTGCAGGTTGAACTCGTCGCGGGCCAGAGTCTCGATGGTGACTTCGTTCTTAACGTGGTTGCGGGGTTTGCGGGCGTCGTAGAAGAGCTTCCACAGGTGGGCTGTCCAGGCCTGCAGCAGGATGAGCTGGGACGACAGGCGCTTCAGCACCATTCCCAGCAGACCGTCTGGGGAAAAACAAGAGCCGCTCAACCGCTGGGGCCCGTCTGCACTTCTGTATACTGATCCCCTCTCTTTACACAGCTTCAGACTCAGAATCCACATGATCGAATCCACCTTCTTCTACTACTGTCAACAATATTAACTACAACTGGGCTAGATAGACCACACAATCCTCTCGTTTCTTACTATTCTTATGTTTTAATATCTGTATTTTATGTCAGGGAGTAGCAAAGTCAACTTGCTGGAGGGCTGTGGTGTGTTCTGGCATATGTCGTACTCAGAACTCACAGTTACATATTTGTTCATATAATTGTAATTAACAGGCTTCGCATTAAAACTTCACATTACTCGTCGGGCTTCAGAATGTTTGAGGTACCGCACTTTCAATCTATCAACAATAAAAAATGATATATATAGGGATCAGAGCAGCCCACTTACTCCCTTTGCACAATTATGTACAAGAAACACAAGCTTGTACACTTTACCTTGAATAGCTGGATCCAAACGTAGCAATGAGAGGAATAAAGAAACACCGTAAGAGAGAGACTTAGAGATCCGACTGGGGATGGGAAGAGAGTAGTAACATGTTGTAGTTTTTGTAATCATAATAAGACACAGTTACACAAATACGTAAGTTCAAAGAAATTGTTCACAACAAGCACACCAGAGAGCAAGAGCTTTTCCAAATTAACTACCTAGTTAGACAATCCTAAAACGCAACATCTACTCTTCTACTTATAGCTGTTAATTCTCTCCAATTCAACGTTCTGTTCTCAACATTGCAGTTTGGGAAAAAAGCATTTCAACAATCTTCAAGAAACCATTTTGCATGGCTATAAAAAGAAAATGCTTAGACACAGATCACACAGCGGCCGTGTCTGAAGTGTTCTGAAAAAGGACCCGACGTGTATTGATTTTTTCTAAGTGATTGTTTACAGGGAAAGGTTTGTACAGTTTTGGATTTCAAGGGAAAGCTTGCTGTTTGTTTTGAGAGTGGGATGATCTACTGTCAAAATTAGTCAAAACTGTTTCAGAATGACAGAAACCGGGTCACGTCAATAAAATGTCGCACAGGCTCGAGCAAGCCTAGTGCGCATAGCTGTGCAGAAGCCAGCCTCATCTTCACATCCTTCTTGGATAGACGAGCAGATATAGGAGGAGCTTCTGTCCTATTCAAACAGAAAAGTCTGTAATGCAAAGTAATGTTTTTTTAATAGAACTATGCTAATGAGGAATGACCAATTGTGTCGTTCTGTTGCAGCTCACAGCGATGAATGCTATACCCACAGTGGGAAAAATGAGGGGGGCTAACAGGCACCCAGATGTTCTAGACATGTTCGGAAAACTGCTTTGTGAATCCTGGTCATAGCTGGGTAGTGACCAGAACCGGACTGGGACCTGGATGTCTGGATAACAGAACTGCCTGGGCGCAGAGCGTGTGCCTTCATGGG